AACACGTGGCAAAATGCAAATTTGGTAGGCCCGGCACAGCCCCTTCGCAGGAAATGAGGGTCAACCATTAAACAACTTGTGTAAAATTGTGATTTTGAAAGTTCAGATGCAAGCGTGGCATGAAAGTCAAACGGCAATAACTGTGGGAAACTGAATTTTTTAAACGTCAGGTGCAAACGTTCAAGAATTGGTGTCAAATTGCGACTTTATCCATTTTGGAACGTCAGGCACAACGGTTTCGCGCGAAATAAAACAGGTGTACAATTGCGATTTTACAAGGTCAGGCGCAACCCTTTTACGCAAAATGATTGTCCAACGTCAAAAATTGCGATTTTCCAACGCCGGTGCAACCCTTTCGCACGATATGATGGCCGAACGTCAATAACTTACCTAAAATTGCGATTTTTTGAAATGTGTAAAAGCTGCTCTGTGGAATCAGTTTTTCTGTGGGAAAGCGTCTGTGTGTAAAGGCTTCTCTGTGTAAAAGCTTCTGTGCGTAAAAGCCTCCGTGTGTACAAGCTTCTGTGTATAAAGACGTCTGTGTGCAAAAGCTCCTGTGCTCAAAAGCTTCTCTGCGCAAAAGCTTCTGTGGAAAAGCTTGTGTGTGTGTGTAAAAGCTTCTGTGTGTAAAAGATTCTCTTTGTAAAGGCTTCTCTGTGTCAAAGCTTCTGTGATTCTCTGAAAAACCATCTGTGTCTAAAAGCTTCTGTGTGTATAGGCGTGTATATGTCAAAGCATCTCTGGGTAAATGCTTCTGTGTGGAAAGGCACCTGTGTTCAAAAGCTTGTGTGTGTAGAAGCATTTGCCGCATCTGTGTGAAGAACTTTTGTGTAAATACCTCTATGTGTAAAGACCTGTCTGCGTAAACGCTTGGGCATTTGCGTGTTTAAAGTTTCTGTGTGCATAAGATTGTATAAGCTGCTCTGTGCAAAGGCCTCTCTCTGTGTAAAAGCTTCGGTGTGTAAAAGCTGCTCTGTGTAAACCCTGCTCTGCAAACAAGCTTCTATGCGTAAAAGCGTTTGTGTGTAAAAACTCTGTATGTAAAGCTGTTGTGCGCGTAAATGCTTCTGTGTAAAAAGATGCTCTGTTTAGATGCTTCTCTGTGTAGAAGCTTCTCTGTGTAAAGCTTCCGTGTGAAAACCTCTGTGCGTAAAAGCCTCTCTGTGTAAAGGCCTCTCTGCGTCAAAGCTGCTCCGCATAAACGCTGCTCTGTGAAAACAAAGCTGAGTGTAAACGCTGGTCCGCGCAAAGGCTTCTCTGTGTGAAAGCTGCTGTCTGTAAAAACCGTTTGTGCTCAAAGTTCCTTCCCGCAAACGCTTGTCTGTGAAAAAGCTTCTCTGTGCAAAATCTTCTCTGTGTAACAGCTTCTGTATGTGTAAAAGCTGCTCTGTTTAAAAGCTTCTCTGAGTAAAAGCTTCTGTGTGTAAAAGCTTCTGTTTGTAAAGGCATCTCTGTGCAAAAGCTTCTGTGTAAAAGCTTTCTTGTGAAAAGGCTGTAAAAGCTTCTGTGTCTAAAAACTTCTTTTTGTAAGGCGTGTGTGTGTGTGCAAAAGCTCCTGTGTGTAAAAGCTTGGACATCTGCGCTTTAAAGTTCCTGTGTGTAAAAGCTTCTTTGTGAAAAAACGTCTGTGTGTAAAACTGCTCTGTGTAAAGGCTTCATGTGGTAAGGCTTCTTTAGAAAAGGCTTTTCTGTGTAAAAGCTTCTGTATGTAAAAGCGTCTGTGTCAAAAGCGTCTGTGTAAAAGCTGCTCTGTGTAAATCCCTCTCTATGTAAAGGCTTCTGCGTGTAAAATCTTCTCTGTGTATTTTTTTCGCTGTGTGAAGACAACATGTTTTTTGATTCTGACTCTCACTTAGGTGCCAGCCCTGGAGCAAACCCTCTGCAGGGACAAAACAGGCATGAAATCGTGGATATATGACAGTTGACTCGCGTCAGCTATCATTCATCATCATCTCCATCGCCATTCATCCTCGTCATTGCCATCGCCATCATCATTGCCGTCATCATAATCACCATCATCATTTTTCTTGTGTATTATCTTCTCGTCTCCTCCCTCCTGCTTTCATTCATGCCACGCTGTCGTCTAGTGTGTTTATCCATGTGCGAGTGCCGTATCATTTTTTGAAGCAAAACTAGTTCTTCTTCAATCTCTCCGTTCCGTTATTAGAACAAGTCTTCAAACTTTGCAGTATTCTGATTCTGTTGTTCAATGTTCTTGGACACGTTGCTTGACATTTGTTTATCGGAACCTTGCTTGGGAACCTGTTCTTGGGAGCCTTGCTTGGGAACCTGTTCTTGGGAGCCTATTCTTAGGAACCTGCTCTTGGGAGCATTGCCTGGTAAACGGTTCTTGGGAACTCTCTCTTGGGAACCTGTTCTTGGAAACTTTGCCTGCTTGCTTCAAACCTGTTCGTTGGGACCTTGCTCGGGAACCTGTTTTTTCGGAACCTTGCTTGGGATTCTGTTCTTGCTTCCAACCTTGCTTGCAGATGTTCTTCGAAATTTCGCTTTGCAAGTTGTTCTTGGAAAGCTGTTCCTGGGAACATGAGCAACATGAAACCATGCTTGGGAACGTGTTCGTGGGAACCGTGCTGGCAACCTATTGCTCGGAACCTTCCTAGAGAATTTGTTCTTGGAACCCGAACCAGTTCTTGGGAACCTTTTCTTTGAACCCTTGCTTGGGAACCTGTTCTTGAGAAGCTTGCTTGCAAACCTTGCTTGGGGACCTGTTCGTGGCAACCTTGCTTGGGAACCTGTTCCCAAGGACCTTGCTTGGTAACCTTGCTACCCTGCAAGGAAACCTGCTCTTGGAACCCTTGCTTGGGAACTTGGGGCATTGTTCTTGGAACCCTTGCTTGTGAACCTGTTCTTGCGAACCTTGCCTGGGAACCTGGTCTTGCGAACCTTGCTTGGAAATCTGTTCCCAGGACCCTTGCTTGGGAACTTGGGAACCTGGCTTGGGAATTTTCCTGGTAACCTTGCTTGCGAACCTGTTCCTGGAAAATTTGATTGGAAATCTTGTTCTTGGGGTGGCTGCAGACCCCAAGCTTACGTACGCTTGGGGAAAAACGTTCCCAAGCAAGTTTCCAAAAAGAGGCTCCCAAGCAGGTATCCAGGAAGAGGTTCCCAAGCAAGGCTAAATTCTTAGGAACCGCTTGCAAGTACGGTTCCCAAAAACGGTTCCCAAGCAAGGTCCACGGAACCGTTTCCAAGCAAAGTTCCAAGCAGGAACAAGCCTCGCAGGAACAAGTTCTCAAGCAAGCGTTCCCAGAAAGAGCTGGTTCCCCAGCAAAATTTCCAGGAGCAAGTGTTCCCAGGGAAACTTGCTTGAGAACCTCTTTCTAGCAACCTTGCTTGAGACTCTGTTCCTGGGAACCTTGCTTGGGAATGCGCTTGGGAACCTTACTTGTGAACCTGTTCTTGGGAACCTTGTATGGGCACCTGTTCCTGGGAACCTTTGGCTGGGAGCCTTGCTTGGGAACTTCTTCCTGAAGGCATTGCTTGGGAACCAGCTTGCTGGGAACCTTGCTTGGACACCTCTTCCTGGAAACCTCTTCCTGGAAACACTTGCTTGAAAACCTGTTCTGGGAATTTCTTTTGTTTGGGAAAAACATGTTCCTGGAAATCTTGCTGGGGAAATGTTGCCTGGAAACCTTGAAAACAGTTACTGAAATCCGTGCTTGCAAAACCTATTCCTGGGAACCTTGCTTGGGAACCTCTTCCTGAGAACCTTGCTTGGGAACCTCTTCCTGGGAACCCTTGCTTGGGAACCCTTGCTTGGGAACCCTTGCCTGGGAACCCTTGCTTGGGATCTGTTCCTGGGAACCTTGCTTGGAACCTTTTGGGAACCTTGCCTGGGAACCTCTTCCTGAAAATATTGGGGGCCCTTGCAATCTGTTCCTGGTAACCTTGCCTGGGAACTGGGAACCTTGCTAGGAACGTCTTTCTGGGAACATCTTTCTGGGAACCTTGCTTGGGAACCTGTTCCTGGAAACCTTGCTTGGGAACCTCTTGCTAGGAACCCTTGCTTGGGAACTTGTTCCTGGGAAGGGAACCCTTGCTTGGGAACCTGTTCCTGGGAACCTTGCTTGGGAACCTCTTCCTGGGAACCTTGCTGGGAACCTCCTGGGAACCTTGCTTGGGAACCTTGCTTGGGAACCTCTTGCTAGGAACCCTTGCTTGGGAACCTGTTCCTGGCAACCTGTTCCTGGGAACCTTGCTTGGGAACTTGTTCCTGGGAACCCTTGCTTGGGAATCTGTTCCTGGTAACCTTGCCTAGTAACCTTGCTTGGGAACCCTGCTTGGAACCTCTTCCTGGGAACCTTGCTTGGGAACCTCTTGCTAGGAGCCTCTTCCTGGGAACCTTGCTTGGGAACCTGTTGTTGGGAACCTTGCTTGGGAACCTTGCCTGGGAACCTTGCTTGGGAACCTGTTCCTGGGAACCTTGCTTGGGAACCTCTTGCTGGGAACCTTGCTGAGAAACCTTGCTTGGGAACCTCTTCCTGGGAACCCGGTTCCCAACCTTGCGCCATACCGATTTGGCTGCTCCGAGGGATCCGCTTGTAAAAGGAAACTCTTCCTGGGAACCTTCCTGGGAACCCGGTTCCCAGCGGATTTGGCTGCTCCGACCTGCTCCGGAACCTTTACTATGGCTGAAGACCCCAAGCTTACGCTGTTGGGGAAAAACAACACAATTCCGAACAAACTCTGAGAAATCTTGCACTGACCATGTGCCAGAACTTGATGTGTGACTGTGTCCAGGCCACATGTGGAGACAACATTCACTATTCCTAGTGCTATGAGTCTTCCTCTGCTCTTTTTGATTCTTTTTGACACTCTTCCCATTCGTCGCATTGGCAATAGTGCTGAGATCGGATCAATCCCTGCACAAACATCCTCAAGTTTCGCCTGCAAACGTCTACTTCCGAGACCTCTGTAGGCACCAAGAGTCGGCAAATGACGTCGCATGTGCCTTGAATATTCTCGAATTAGGGCCGGACTCACCACAAGCTGCCGCAAACACATGGACCGGTCTGGGTCTCAGCTGCTTCAACTTTGACATCAAGGAGCCTTGGTGAGTCTTCCTTGGGAGCAGTGGTGACTGTCTCAGTATCCTCAGCCTTCTCAGGCTTTACTTCGACATGCGACGTCTTCAGCTCTGCTTCTTTCAGTTCGCCAATGGCTTTCTCCGCTTCTTCAACGTCGACTTTCTCCTCATCCTCCTTGGCTTCTGTGAGTACAGGCTGCTCAGCTGTCACCTCCGTTGCTTCCTTGGTCTCAACTGCCTCAACTGCCTCAACTGCAGCCTCTGTGCTCTCAACTGCAGGCTGGGCTTGTTCGGCTTGTTCGGCTTGTTCGGCCCTGGGAGCTGCATACACAGCTTCCTGGGGCTTGGCGGCCTTGGAAGTCTTGGAGCTAGAGCAACCCATGGCGTCAGAAGGGAACGGGGGTCGCAAGTCTACTGAAGACGCAACTGCACTTGGAGCCCTTTCCCAGGAATGGAGATCGACAGGCTATCTTGGCAGGTCTCAACATCTGTCGCGTTTCAAACTGCTTTTGGCCATAAACAAGAAGGTCATGTTACAGAATCGCCATGACACTGCATTGCGAGGTCAAATGGATCTATTTTCATTCGTGATTCAGTGCAATTTCAAGACCTCCAGCGTATCAAGATTTATCAAGTGCTTTCCAGCTACTGCCTGTTGCAGAATTTCTTTGCTTCCCACATTGGAGGTCATTACCTGAGCCCACCAACCGTAAGCCACACTTCAACCAGCTGGCTTGATGCACCAAGGCATGTGGGGACTCTAAGTGCCGAGCGATAATGGAGTTGTTGAAGCTCACCGTTCTTCCCTGCTGGAAAGAGTAGTCTTCTCAAAAACAACAAATGTGTCGGAAAAAGAGCATGGAGTAATCCATCATAGTCCATCTCTTGGGACAACTTGGTACTTCTTCAAAATTGTCTCAGATGGGGGGGGTTCCTAAAATACCCAAAAATGGATGGTTTATAATGGGAAATCCTATTTTTCAGTGGGTGATTTTGGGGGTAGCCCTATTTTAGGAAACCCACAGATCCCCAGTGAAACAGCCACGGTCATCACCGTGCCTTGCCGTCGGTCAAGCGCCCATCCTCCAAGACCTGCAACAACAAGTTCAAGACCTGGCGGAAAAAAAGGTGTCGATCAATGATGCAGTGATGGAACCTGTATCAGTTATATATATATATACTCTATATATATATATATACTAAGTGATGGTATACTATATACTCTATATATTTATTATGGTAGTTCCATTTATATACTAAGTGATTTCATGGATGTTAGACCACCTCAGAACTGTTGGCGGATTCCAGTTTGACCGCAAAGTTTAAGGGGAGTTCTAATCATTCTAACCCATTTTCTGTATCTGTTGCTAGAAGCAAGGGTTCCATCTTTGTGGGTGTTCAAGTTGGACACAGCCCCCAGCCACTAGCCACTGACAATCACTAACAGTGGCCTGGACTGTCACCTTCACTAATTATCAACTGTTAGTGGGTGAGGGGAGAAAGTTGATTATATCATATCAATATCATTCAATATCATATCATTATCGCAAGACTATGATTAGATTTGGGGGGATCTCCTATTCATAAACTCCCCAGGAGTTCTTCATCCACAATTGACATTCCCTGCACGCCTCGGCATGAGCCTTTTCAATTTCGTCCAGCACCACCACGCTGTACGGTTTTCGCCTCGTAGTTTTGCATCGACAAAGGCGACAAATGGAGCTGTGGATTGCTCGGTTTTTGGCTTTACTTGACTAGAAACCCATTTCAAACCATACTCTGTTTCCCCATCAAATGCTAGGGGGCCCTATCAAGTCCACCTACTATACCATGTAATGGTCGATTGTAGTCGATTGCAAGCTGCTGTATTGGAGGCATCCCGTTGCAAATACAGCAGCTTCTTATTCTCGGGGTGCAAACCATTTGGAATTGTGTGTGTGTGTCCCAAAATTGGGACCCCCAATGACCCCCATTACATTGGGTTCTGTGCGTCTCCATACTGAAGTAGATGATACTGCTGGATTCGCAGGGTCAAGAGAAACCATTAGAAACCTAAAGCTTTATCGAAGTTATAAATTATATTAAATTATATATTAAATTATAAAGCTTTATGACTATATGACTATATACTATGATAGTTCACGTTTATAGTTTATATGATTTTATATGTTTATATCAAAGGTTCTGGTCCATTCCATCCATGCCTATCCCCGTCCGGTTCCTTCGGCCTCACAGCTTCAGTGAGCTGGCCACTTCGAGGGTCGTTGTAGCCCACCTCGAGGGTGAAATTCTGGGTGAAAGACTGGGGAAAAATCATGGCAAATCTAGGTTGAACATTGATTGGGTCATTCAAAAACCCAAGAAATGTCGACGAAATCAAAATCTTCAGCCAACTTCAAACCTCTGCAAAGTCCTCTGGAGCTTTCTGTTTCTTCTGAGTCCCGAGGCATACCCAGGAGGCGCGCCAATCAAACGTGACACGCTGTGCGGCTCAGAAAATTCGCTCATGTCCAGGCGGATCATGGCCTGACCGGCGCTCCTCCACGATTTTTCCATGTTTTGCCCCGCCCCCGTGACTTATGAATTAGGGCTTTATGGGAAAACTATGGAAAACTCAACAATATGCACCACATTGCTGATCCCTGCTTCTATGGGCTTTTGTGTGACACTGGCGCCGACCCATCTGAAACACTCCAGAACCAATGTGGGCCTCAAGACTAGGACCGGGAACTTCCAACCAAAGGATGGTGTTCCAATACCAAGACATGGATTTGGGGGAGTAGAGATAGCCAGCCAATACCCTGAAAATGAAGAAAGTCTAGCATAAAACTTGTGCTTGGAGTGTACTTGTTTGACATGACGAGCATGGCAGCATGGTTCAAGAATGTTTGATCATCTTGCCTCAATAGATTCCCCATGAAAAATCAAGAGGAAAACAGCGCCAAAAGCCGCGCCTTGCTGTCCACATAGTATTCCTCTGCCAGCACTCGACAGAGCTGGGTCTTCCCCACACCTCAGATGGTCCAGAAATCCAGAAACCCTGATTCAAATGAAAAGATCCCATGTGACAAAAGATGCAGCTGGCTGGACTTCCCTAGATGTTCATTTGGATTTGAAGACCATATGAGACCATCATACTTTTCAACTGGACGATCAAAGTGTCCACCCACATTCCAAATCAGAACAACATGGAAGTTGCTACGCAGAGAGAGGTGCAAAGCATGACTCCTGGTATACCCAGCACAAAGCGCAAGCCCAGCACGAAGACTAGCAAGTGCCGAAAGTGCACAAGTGACTTGACAAGTGCACCATGCCTGAAGGACCCGCGAAGAAGAAGGTGGCTGTAGGTCGGTTTTGGCCTGGCAAATGCAACCATGGTCCATCATGATTTCCATCGTTTCAGAGTGTGGCTTCAACCCCACTGGGATGTCCGAAGTTGTTTAATTGGCTACAATTGGCTTTAAACAGCTTTTGAAAAAAAGAGGAAACGGCCACCGTGTTAATCATCCGGAATCAAAATCATTGGTTTAAAAAAAACGAAACAACCCAACCAACCAGACACGCTCCATCTTCGCCTGCCAGTCCACTTCGAGCTCGCCGCACGGCGCGCGCTAAGGCACTCACCGCTTCGTCTTGGCCTTAGCGATCTTCGCGTGGTTTTCAGCCATGGACTCCATGGACTCTTCAGAGTGACTCCGCCGTTCGGTCACCACTCAAAACCTGGGATTTCTGGGGATTTCTGGGGATCCAGTCCGACGATCCTCTTGGACAAGATCCCCTCCAGGTTCATCAAGCGATCGGATTCGCCTTCAAAAATTCGATCCACTGGAATTCCTGACCTTAGTTACCCAAAGCCATTGTTCCAGCACGCAGAATCCGTTTGGAATGCCAGTTAGAACAGATCATTGGCTCTAAGTCAACAAATCAACCTGGTGGGATCATATCATGCAAAACTCTCCTCAGAGTTGAATTACAGAATTCAACCAACTTTAGACCTACCGGATTATCAAACCTGGTGGCAATATTCTTTGGGTCAGGAAAGATGTTCTTGATCTTTTTCGATTTAAATTAAATTCAAGAAGCCAACTAGATCCCCAACTTCACGATCTGGTTGTGTCTGATTTTAAACGGCCACACGGTCTGAGCACCAAGCCATTTTGACAGGACAGCGGCCACATCTGCAGCGCTCACCAGTGGTTTGGGCCTAGGAACTCTTTGGAATATCACCCTGTATCAAGAGGATCTTGGCCGTTGGCTTAAGCCTTGAAGGTGGAATACCCCCAATCTGCGCTGATTCTAGGACCCTGAAAAAAGATGGCTCGCAAGTGAAATGAAGATTGGTGGCGCCTTTGAAACTGGTCACGAACAAGTTCCCTCAATTTGAAAGACCAACTAGGACTAGGATGCCAATTTGAGTATCCATACAAAACCTTTGTTACATAGCTTTCTGACTCAGGGGTTGAAAGCCATCAAAGCCTCAAAGCTTAAAAATTCTTGAAATATATCAGTGGGCGCGGTAGTGTCGACCAATCATCTAACACCAAACCCGGTGGCCTTTATTTTGGCCAATGGGAAGTGTCCCCTGGACCCAAATACCCTATGTTTTGCAAGTATTGCTGGGCATGTCCCCATTGGTTTTGCTTATTGCATATTACATACACCGTGGTAATCCAAGTTGCCAACGGGAAAGCTCCAAATCCTGTGGGGAAATATCGAAAAGAACATCTATTCTAAATCTCAAATGGTGAATTTTCCATTGCCAGGTTAAATTACCAAGGCTAATTTCAATCACACGAAAAGTTCCACCCCTTCGCCCAGCTCCCCTTGGTGCTTGGACTGTTCTCCGGGAGTCACTTCTTCGTTGGCCTTACCGGCACGACTTCGACTTGGCTATGTCCATCCTGGTGAGCCACCTCCTCCAATCATCAACTGGCCAGCCTGATCCAGCTGAATCTCCATTCTCCACTGAGCCTAGGAAGGATAGGAGTCGTCAACCCCCAAATTGTCAGTTCGATAAACGTGATGCACCGGTGGATTTAGGGGTCCGTATTCAGACAAAGCCATGTGGGAATTCAGCTTCAATCTCGGGATCTGACCAAGCTACTTGCCTCGTCAATGAGGTCAACGGCCTGACATGGCACGGGGAGGCAGGGGGAGGCACGGTGCATCCCAAGCATCGCCCATCCAACCATCGCCCGCCTTGTCAGGCAGGAAGCGATTTGGTAAGTAGCCTGAGGTTGACAACACCAGTGCCATGTCATGGCCACCAATGGGTGGGTCCTTTGAAGCTTTGGCACACCAGGAACAAAATCAGCTGGTGTCCAGGCCCCTCAAAAACTGGAGGCTTCCTCTCCAGCGATGGTAAAGAACAGCCAATCCAGTGGTCCGATGCAGTATCATTTGCCATGAAAGTCTATGATTACGGAAGCCTGATAGTGAAACACCATGTTACAAAGAGGATGTTGAATGATGTTGAGTTGAGGAAGACTCTGATTCAAGCATTTTCATGTCAATAGTCAAACAGCTGTCAGTAATAATTAGTACTGTAATAATGTACTGACGAATCTTCAACACGAAAATCATCTTTAGTGCTTCTTCAGTATTTATACTCAAAGAGTAAAGCGTAGACTTCCCAGTACCTCTGTCACATCCCTACCAGGTAGTTGGATACATAGATGAGATCAGTTAGAATTTCTTGCCCCATCAACAACTGTGGATCTCTGCTATTGTGCTAATATCCGATTGTGCTAATATCCGACTGAGATTCATGCACAGAAATGCAAATGAAATCCAACAAGAATCCTAACTGCAGCGTTTGTAGTTGATGTCGCGACAATTAACCGAGCCGTGTCCTTCCAATCTATTCCCCCATGGCTTGACTGAGAACATTGACCCCATTAGCAATGAACCTTGGATGCTTCAACTGGGGGAGACCAGAAGTGATATGGGGAAATAGATGGATTTGAGCAAATGCTGTTGAAACAACCCTCAAAGTCACGTCCTAAAAATGAATCGGTTCCTAAATCCCCACTTTGCACATCTGATTAAGCATCAACCAACCATCAAGTCACAGCCTATCTCCCAATTCTTGGAGGTTCGCTCCAAGCAACGCTGTGAGAGTTGCGCAGCTGCTTGGAGCGCTTCCGGGGACAGCAGCACCCCATGATGAGCCTGAAATGCTGTGGAAAGGTTGAGATCTGGGATTGTAAACCAGTGAAAAATGAGGAAAATAAGGATTCTTTGATCCTTGCAAGCAATAAAGATGGCGGTTTGAAAGCCACAATGGGTGTTTACCACACTTCGTCACACAGTGAGACAGTCAGGATGATTTTTCAACAACGTCCATTAGAGTCACCTGGCCGCCGTCCATCATGAACATCTGACGGAATCCACCAGGATCCGACTGGGTTTAGAACGTTGTTGGCTCACTGACTGTTAGTCTCACCCATTTACTAACCTATTACTAGTATATAGATATATATATACATATGTAAATATATATATACACATATGTAAATATATATATATATACACATATGTAAATATATATATATACACATATGTAAATATATATATATATACACATATGTAAATATATATATATACATATATATATATATGTGTATGCATATGTATATATATATACACATATACTTCCTCTATGGCTCCAGCGACCACCAGCCGCAGAAAAAACCGGCACCTCATAGGAGGGTCGCAAGCCATCGAGGACCTCCAAGGTCTCTGCGATGGAAGCTTCCTGGCTTGAAAGTCATGGGAAAACATGGGAAGAGCCATGAAATCCCAATAAAAACCGCCCTATAAAATCCCAGAAAATCCTATGGTTTGTACATGGTTTCATGGCCATATCATGGTTTTTAAACGTGTTTAGCATCATTTATTGCGCTCCATCAGATTGAATGGTCCGAACTTGCAGGCATGTGCCCATCGTTCAGGAATACGCCAGCTTGTGGGTAAACATCCAGGGAATTATGGGAATTACAAAAACTCAAACATGATTGGTTGGCTCTGCAAATTCACTGCTGAGGGAAACGTGGCACAAACCCTTGCACGGTCCATCTTCAACAGTATTTGAGCTGAGGGTAAACTTGCAAGGGATCAATTTATACTGAGGGTCCACATGCCACTTCCACAGCAAGAGCTGCAGCTTGCGTCCTTCATGTTGCAAGACAAAGATTGCTGGTTATTCAAGGATGTCCTTCAAGAAAAAAAACTGGATGCCGTGTATTGAAGCTATTTCCCCCAACCATGACCATCATGACCATCATGGCCACGCAACGCGGCACCTCGCAGTTCACCCGTTGAAAGCGGCGCTCTAAGGCAGCGTCCTTCTCAATGTGTTTGGTGTACCTCCGCCAAGCGACGCTAGGGGAAGAAACCCCAAAAATGCTGGGATTTAAATGGATTTACAGCAAGAAAATCTAAGCCAATTGGGATTTAAATGGATAGCTCAGATAGCAACCGAAAATATGACAAAAAAGGCAGCATGGTTGAGATTAGATCCCCTTCATGGGATCGCAAGATTGGCACCTGTACAGGTATAGTTGAGTAGATAAGTCCTAGTGGAGCACGTACAGATTGTGTGAATGACCTAGAGAATTGCTGTAGACAGTTTTATCACCTCTATCTACGGCTTAGGGGCAACCTGTCTCCAATTGTCAGGATATACGCTACGGCGCTTTGGAAATGCAAGGTGTTGGCATCCTGGATAATTGCGACAGCCTTGCACGATATAATTACATGGATGTGGGTCAAAATGGAAGACCTAGGGGACCACAGATGTTAGTCTAGTTTAGTATTAACCATCCAATTATTGGGGTACCTAATTTTGACCCATACCCACATGTACTTGTAAGATCTTGTAAGTATGTTCAGCCACTATCCGAAGTTCACTGTCTCTTCGTTCCGCAGCCGAACTTGGTACATGTTACTGGAATTGAGGAGAAGATATCAGCCGGACATCATCGGACATCCATATAAACCAGAATAACTCATGAGGTCAGGTGAACAAACCAATGGAAAATCGCAGAGAGATCCTAAATCCTGACATATCATGACTATGTGAAGCGATCTTCAGGACCATGGCGCACTCATCAGCAGTGGTAGCACCAATCACTTGCAACTCCCCCCGCGCTAAGGAGGGTTTCAACAGATTGGCAGCATCCATGGAGGAGTCAGCACCTGCCGGGAAAGGAAAGACGTGCGAACGTGGACTGTTCGTGGCAAACCGCAAGGGTGATATGACTCATATGACTCTCAAAACTAGGGTTACATAAAGCAAAACTAGGGTTACATAAAACTTTGGATTGCATTTTATAAGGAAAATCTGCTATTTGGAACAGGTAAAACTCGCCACGCTGTGTTGCCACGGTCACGGCTTTGCCTGCCGCCCCTGCACCAATGATTTGATGAATCCTGAGCTGATCGTTCGCCCAAATATGGACAATCATTGTGGAAAAAATCGTGACAACAATCAATAATTTTATCATAATTGGATCATAATCATGAAAACTATACTAAAAAAGTACTTGTTTGTGGTCCTACTAATAATGATGATAATACTGAGAAATGATAAAATGATACTAAAGATATTCATAATAATATATAATAATTACTGATAATACTGATAATAACAGGAAGATGAGGACATCAAAAAAAACTGTAAATTGTTATCATCAGTATTATTGAATTTAATAACATGATGATATGTAATATCAATGGATTGGTTTAAGGGAACTTTTACAGGAAACCATGGTTTTTACCATTAAATATGGGGGGTTCCGGTTCAAATTTTCCCGTAAACCAATCCATTGATATTACTATATACTGATAAGAAGAAACTTTGCTTCAGCAGATCCCATCTGATCTGAGTTGCTCATCAATGAAGATGCAAATGTCTCGCTCGTCGCTCGTCACCTCACTGATGACCTTCTTGAGACCTGGAGCAGCTCTCAACGGCCGCTGGGATTGATATGTAATTAATTTGGATATATGGGGATATATGTGCATATATATATATATGTATATATATATATAAGAGAGATGTATTATATTTATATATATGAGAGATGTATTATACATAGACATATATGTATATATGAGAGATGTATTATATATACATATATATATATATATGTATATGTGTGTGGAGTATGTGTATATATATAATATGTATGTATATATATATATGTACATTATACATGGGGTATGTATATATATATATGTATAGATATACACGGCATATGGAGTATGGGGTATGTAGCTAATAGTTGATATTCAAGGGATTGTTTTAAAGGAAGTCTAGAGGAAGCCATGGTTTAAAATCATCAGGGGGGTCCTGCAGATTTTATCATCATTCAATTATATCCAATTCTAAAAAGTATTCAAGTAAACTCTTACTCGTATTCCAAAGCTGATCATACTCCAAACAAAAATAGCTGGGAATGGCCAGAAATATTCGTTCCTGCTTGGCAGACAAAAGGAGTCCTAACAAGTAACAAGTCAAATCCTCAATCTTTCTCAGAGCACTTGTCTACTAGTTTCACCATTCATCCCTCAGCAATAGACGTCTACAAAGTCATCCTTGAGCCTCGGACGATCCTCAAATTCGCCGCGGTACTTGGTACCAGCCTTAGGATGGGATGGTTATTGGCGGGATGGGATGATATGGGATGGTTATTGGCTCGTTTCATGTTCCGCGCTTTGGCCGATGTCGGGTTTTTCTTCAATATCTTTTGAGTGGAGAAAGTTGCCAAAAGCAAAGAGAACGAACATGCTCTGAATCGATTGGATCAACAGGTGAAATCTTAGGCCATGAAACACCTTTAGGTTGGCCAAAAAAAAGTGTTTCTATATGGATATGCCGCACATTCTCAGCATTTTTCGGCCAGGGCATCGGCATCCCAAGGCCCCCGGCCACCAGTTGTCCCAGGTCCAAGGAGTACAGCTGCTTCCCACGCAACTTTGAGGGCACCTGGCGCGTTAAGCCGCGAATTCTCAGACGCTGAGGTCCGATTCGAGTCAACGTTGAGGTAAATCCAATCGGGATGACGTGTATCTGTATGTATGTATAATATATATATATTGTACATAGGTGACATTAGGTACAACATGTATGTATATATATATATGATACTATAAATTCCCATGACCCATGGAACTGGACCCGTTCAATATTTTGATCGCATCCTGCCTGTCCCTGCGCGATCCGCTGTGCAAGGCCCTCCACCACAGCCGTTTTCCCCACACCCGGAGGGCCAACGAGGCAGGCGTTGTTCCTTGGGTCACTCGATTGGAGATCATAATCTCGGGGTTCAACATGAACTGGAAATATCTGGAAATAAGCAATCAAATCACTATCGAATTTCTTCTTTCGCAAGATCTTTATGATTATCTCTTTGAGGCCCAACTTGCGCTTCCGAAGCAGGATCTGAATGATGCGCTCCATCTCCTCTTCCCGGCCTGGGAGTTGGGCTGAGTTAGAGTTGGTGCAGCCAAAAGGTCAGAGTTTCCAGAGGACAAGGATCAACATGTTGCCAGGATTATTAAAGTATGCCTCAAGAATGTCCAACCTTCATCCAACGCACTGCCTAAATGAGAGCCTAGCTGCATCAAGATCACGATCCTCTGTTGGGACTTAATGTTGGTTTCTCAAAAAAAAATTGAAGGATCAAACATGGATAAACATGGATATAAACCCATAAATTACATTTGATTCATGGCCCTTATGGCCATGGGAAATTTGTGGAACTGGATCTTGGTTTCACCATGTGCCGATGGGCTTTTTTTTCGGGCTTCCCAGTTCCCCCTTTCCGAGGTCATCGCCCACCACGGGATCCAACAAACCATCCATCGCCATCTGCCTGTCCGATTACCCTCTGGTAATTTAACATAGCTATGGAAAATCATCATTTTTAATGGGAAAATCAAGAAAATCACCATCTTTAATAGGTAAATCAACTATAAATGGGCCACCTCCCATAACTATGTTAAATTGCCAGAGGGATCCAGAGGGTATATCATGATATATCATGTGTATAGCTGAATGATCCTGAATGATCCTGAATGTATATCTCTGCCTGTGCTGGTTTCATTTACGATGGATATTGTGGTTTATGCCTTTTATTGTTTTTCAAAATCATATGATCTACAGTATATGTTTACAGATGCTGTGCATGATACATGTGCCCCGGTAACTACCACGGTGGCATTTGAGAAGGGCTTTCCCATGGTTCACCAATGAGCTCCCCGCGTGAGATCAGTGGCCACTTGATCCAAGGTGAGATCAGAGTCTCCCTTGTCATCTGCCTAGCGCCAGTTGCGCTGGAGTCATGCTCTATCACAACCTGGGAAACCTGGTTGTACAGTACAATCCCTAAGAATCCCTAAGAGACATTGGGTGGGTTCACAACCTCCATCACATGATGCGCTGGTTGTCAAGCGACATTGTTCTTTTCAGGTCATGGCCACATCATGGACACAATGATTGTGAATCTGCGGGCAATGACAGTAAATCCAGGGTTGGGCCCAATCTTTCATAATCCAGGGAATAGTTGATACAATGATGTCAAAATGCATTTTCATAATCTTTGAACGCTTTTCAAACAAGTTGACCCTTTCGGCCGGGACTGGTTTTGCATTTTTTCCGTGGACTCATCTTGCTGGGGGGCCAGAACACCGGGAACCCGGTATCAACCGTTGCCCCAGTTGGGTTCCACACCCCAACGGCGGCCAGTTGCCGCTCATCCACTGGAGCGGACCTGGCCATTGGCCAATTGGGCAAGGTAGAACATATCGAACTGGGGAATTGACAAAGAGATGAAACGGATTCTGAAATCAGATGTATCAGCTGCCATAAGTCTTTCTGAGTTTTTGTTGAACATATCAAATTATTAACAGCTGACTCAATTGACTCAGTTGACTCACTCACTTAACAGATAATCATATTGCGATATCAACAGCAACTCAGGTGACTCAGTTGCCCATCAGTCTGCGGCCACTTGGGATCAGTGTTGCTGGGCCACCGGGCATCTCTGCTAAGACGGAAGCTTTCAATGCCTCCTCCGTCAGCCCTAAACCTGTTCCAAGGAATGATGGCTTGACGCAAGTTGCAAGTGGACGTCAAATATCATGTCACAATATTATATACCAAATTCACACATGTACTACATGTATACATATATACATGAAACACATATATACATATATACATAATGTATATATATATACACATTATGTGTATATGTATATATGTATAGTACCATTTAATTGCCGTTACATATGTATATATAAATATATACATTTATCTATTTGTTTATTTATCTATAATATATATATATGTATGTATACATGCATGTTGGAGAGCCCAAGTTCACATGACATATATTTTTTTGACGCACTTTACAGATGACATGGGAGTTATGCATTTGATTTTTCACTTTGCACATGACATGGGAGTTTGCGTTTTGTGGGTATGTCCGACTACTCCTATGACATCTGCAGGTACTATATGGATAATTAATGATAATTATATACATGAGTAAATCAAAATCTAGTACCCCTGTAAACACATTGGTTTTCACTAGTTTAGTGAACGTGGTCACACAATTTGGATTTGATGGTCTCAGCACGTCTCACTAGCAGTTGCACATGCATTGCAACTGGTTTCAAAAGTTCACAAAAGGCTGGATGGTCAACTCACAAGAGAAAACAAAGGCAGAATTTTGCGGTTTGCACGACCTGGATCAATAGAATTGGCAGTCACTTTGCGCTAATGAACCAACCTTCCAGGCACTACATGTACTTGGTCCTCGTACATGTCCCACATCCACCGTTCTTCCTAACCAACCATGGCCCCAACTGGCCTCTGAGCATCACCATCCCACCACTTTGTGCCAAGGGAGGTTGGCCTGGGATGCTCCGCATGGGCGTCACGTGGAGAGTTGACATTTCAAAATAATTCATTAGGTAGCTCCAAACTTGGATAGTTCATTTAGATTCATTTGGGTAGAATATGGTGGAATATGATACATGGATATACATGGCCATTGAGTCTTAGATTTTGAATTACGATGTCAACCCCGGATCAATACACCCTGGTTGATTGATTAGGATTGATTAGGTGGGTTCCGGCCTAATAGTATAATAGTGATCATCCGCGCCGTAAATAGTACCCCCCGATTCAACAGCCCATGGCAGCATCCCTGGAGTTGAGTTAAATCCTCGAGATATCCAAATAATTACCAGCAAACATCAACCAACTGTTACAGGTTTCAACATGTTTCAAAAGCATTGAAATACATGGAAACACACATCACAAATCAAACCATCAAAGGATCACTTTGAAAAACCGCGGGACTTCAGCAGAGTTTACAGCTCGCAAGCCAGGTGACAGAGGGCCAGCAGCAATTGCTCGCAACCGATTTCGGTGTTGCCAACACTGTCCGCCTGCTGGGCGCAAGGGGTCTTGAAGCCAAGAAGCTCCGTCAAAAAGAAACATCTGTGTGATCATTCAGCCATTATCATCATCATCATCATCACCATCATCATCATCACCAGCATCATCATCATCATCATCATCAGCGTCACCATCATCATCATCATCATCATCGTCATCCTCATCATCAGCGTCATCATCATCGTCATCGTCATCGTCATCGTCATCCTCATCGTCATCGTCATCATTATCGTCATCGTCATCATCATCGTCATCACCATCGTCATCGTCATCGTCATCGTCATCATCATCGTCATCATAATTGTCATCATCATCGTCATCGTCATCATCGTCATCGTCACCACCACCATCATCTTCATCACCACCATCATCATCATCATCGTCATCGTCATCTTCATCATCATCTTCATCATCATCATCATCCTCATCATCACCATCATCTTCATCATCATCAGCGTCACCATCGTCATCATCATCGTCATCATCATCATCATCGTCATCGTCATCGTCATCGTCATCGTCATCGTCCTCATCGTCATCGTCATCGCCATCGTCATCATCATCGTCATTGTCATCGTCATCGTCATCGTCATCATCATCGTCATCGTCATCGTCATCATAATTGTCATCATCGTCATCGTCATCGTCATCGTCATCATCATCATCATCATCACCAGCATCATCATCATCATCATCATCATCATCATCATCGTCATCGTCATCGTCATCGTCATCGTCATCGCCATCGTCATCGTCATCGTCATCGTCGTCATCATTCCCCAACCAAACTGGGACCAGGTCGCAACTCGTTCCAGTGACCCAACCACCAACCACTTGCAGTGCGCACATTGGCCGTGTCAAAGAGCAGCCGAGTGTTCTCGCTAAAGGGCAAGGCACCGCTGCCTGTTTCAGGTATACATTCCATCATGGCTGAGGTGAATCTGGGGTGCCAGTTGTGGCTTTCAAGTTCAAGAGTCTCCCAGGTCATCTGAAAAGACTGTCAACTTTTAAAGTGAGCCAAACTTTAAGGCATCATGCCTAACTGAGAGTGGGATGATGCATTTTGAATGAAAGAGGATACAGTATACTGTGTATATGTGTATGTTTATGTATATATAATGTGTATATATATATATATACGGTATATACATACATGCATATCACAATTCGAGCGGAATCAGGAACGTGTTGTACTTGCAAGCTGCAACAAATTGCAGCTACTTCGGCTGTTGATCAAGCAACTAAGGCGGATTTCATCCTACTTCACAATGAGTTGATGCATCAAATCAGCCCGATCATCTAAGTGCGGCCTGCGCTATCCGTTTGATTCTTTCAGCTTTCAGGAAGCAGTGGCTGTCAGTGGTGTCTGAGGAGAGACTTTGAGCAAATCATTCTCGAGTGCCACTATCCGAGTAGACTCTTTCACTTAAAGACAGACCCACATTGAGATAGAAGGAGTGCGTACTGTACACTCATCTCGTGCTCGCATACTGTACACTTCCTTTTGCTTGCTATACAGTTCAAAATTAAGTTGTCTCAAAATGCCCTGTACACAGATGAGTCTTGAACGCAGGACAGTGCACATGGCATGACCCGCAAGTTGGACAACTCTGCCCCTTCTGTCCCAGTCGCCAGATCTCTGAGGACTGCTTCGAAACTAGCAGCAAGAGCAGCGCTATGGTGTCGACGATCAAAGTCGAGCAGTTTTCAAACTTAAACCCATCAAGCTATCCCTGAAAATCCGTTCATCCATCAGTCGCAGTTTCTCACTGATCAACGGTCTGAAATCCATCTGCGCCAGAATGTCGCGCTCCACATCTATGCCAGGTGCAATCTCTGTCAGCTCTAAACCATGCTGGGTCAAAGTAAACACACATCGCTCCTGGGATCTGCTGGGGTCAAGCAAAGGCACAAATTGAAAAATGCTCGCCATTGGCATGGGAATACATATCGTAAACTGTAGTTATGTACATACATATAATACGTGTATGTATGTATATATATATATATAATGCGGCTCCGCCGGCTCCCCACTAGTGGCTTGCCCTACGAGCGAGCCACTAGAGCTCTATGGTGAGGGGCGCCCCAAGCCGCGAGAGCTTTTTGGATGGAATTCGGGTCGCTCATAAGCGTCTCCAAGAGCATTCCCCCCCCCCCGTTTTGAGGGTACCCAAAATCGGAAAAAAGTGCTGTTTTGACACATTTTTCAGACGATATTTGGCTTTTCGAAATTAACAAAGTGCTGTAAATTACAGCATGTTTGTGTTTTAATTTTGCGGGAGCAATGCAAAAACGGAGAAAATGCTGTAAATACCAATACTTTTTAGACTAGAGATGGACAAAACACTGCAAATACCAGCGTTTTTGAAAGCAAAGCAAAAAACACACCATAAATCACAGCATTTTTGGCGAGTTGATCGCCAAAAATGATGGTATTTACACGGTTTTTGCACTTTCAAGAAAACGTGGAAGGCACGAAACACTGTAAATAGCGGTGTTTTGGCTGCTTTTGGACGCCGAAACGCTGGTATTTACGCAGTTTTTGCCCATGACGGCGACAAACCCCTGTAAATTACAGCATTTTTGTGCACTGTTTGAATTATTGTTTTGTCTTGATGAACGTTAAAATTTACGCGTGTTTCAAAAAATCGAAGATCGTGACGTGAACGAAACCCTGTAAATGACAGTGTTTTAGCCACTTTCGAAGACTAAAACTGTAGTATTTACGCGGGTTCTTGCCATCTGACAGCGCAAAATGCTGTAAATTACAGCACTTTGTGCGCTGCTTATGTTCAATTTTTGAACGCGCGATGCTTTCACATGTTCTTGGCATTCTTTAACAAGAAACGGCGTTACAGATTGAAACTATACGACAGTGTGGCCCGAAAGAAAGCTGGAGGGAGGAGACGAGAAGATAGTACACAAGAAAATATGATGATGCATGCTGCTGGTGAGGAGCTTTTACACAGACGCATTTACACACAGAAGCTTTTATGCACAGAAGCTTTTACACCGAGAAGTCTTTATACAGACTGGCTTGTACACGCAGAAGCTTTTACACAGAGAGAAATCTTTACACAGAGGAGCTTTTACGCACGGAAGCTTTTACACAGAGAAATCTTTACACTAAGGAGACTTTGCACACAAACGGGTTTACACAGAGGAGCTTTTACACACAGAAGCTTTTACAGAGAGTGATTATACACACAGGCGCGTTTGCACACAGAAGCGGTTGCACAGAGAAGCCTTTTCACAGGAGCTTTTACACACAAGGGCGTTTACACAGAAGCTGTTACATACAGACGCTGTTACACAAAGAAGTCTTTACACAGAGAGCTTTAACCCACAGGCGCGTTTACAGACAGAAACTTTTACGCAAAGAAGTCTTTACACAGAGAGCTTTTACACACGGAAGCTTTCACACACAGAAGTTTTTACACAGAGAAGGCTTTACACAGAGAAGCTTTTACACGCAGAAGCTTTTTCCCACAGAAGTTTTTAAACATCCATGAATATGTTCAAAAAAGCATAAGGAATATATTTCTGAAGCAGCACGTCCTTAATCAATAGCTTTCAAGCCCACCTTGCGATGACATCGAGGGTCAAGTAATCCGGCGGAGCCGACGATGAGCGTCAAGCTCTAATAATACCTGTATGTATATATATATATATCATTGTACAGATTCTTTTATATTCATGCTCATATACGTATTTTCCGGACACATTCCAACAAGAAGTGATTTCATTGGATGTCCCGAAAAAAAAAAAACATAAAAGAACAACTTTTTGAACCTTAAGCATTCCCAGGGTTCTGTGATGTAGAGCACCTCCTGTTTTCTGATTTTGGCATAGTCACCACTGAAGGTCATATGTTCCACATGACTCAGGAACTTCCGGCAGTCACCCTCGCGACAGATTTGAAGTCGACCGCCGGGAACACCAATCTTCAGTCCGTTTGTGAAGGTGCCCATAAACACCA